CAATAAAACTATTTTCTCAGCAGTAAAAAGAAGGAGGAGTCACCTGCATTTAATAGAGTTCAACAAATGAACAAATGCAGTAATGTGGTTCCTACTATTAACCAGGTCCCATGTTAGAGAAAAGGAAGTTCTTTGTTTTTTTAAGAAAAAGAAGCAAAACTATGTTTATTTTTTTGCAAAACTTAGAACAGCACAACAACAATAAAAATGATGGTTAACTTAGGGTTAAGACCCCAAATAAGTATAATATTAAAAGAATACCTGAACTGGGTACTGGTAGCATAAGCCAGTAACCTCAGTGACTTAGGAGGCTGAGTGAGGTTGGAGGATCACAGCCTCAGCAATTTAGCAAAGCCCTAAGCAACTTAGCAAGACCCTGTCTCAAAATAAAATATAAAAAGGGGCTGGGGATGTGCCTCAATGGTAAAGAGCTCCTGGGTTTGATCTCTAGAGCACCCCCCCAAAAAAAAGTCATATATAATATAAATGAATTGCAGTCCAGATACTGAGAGAATTAACGTGAGATTGCACAACTACTGTTAATCTTTAATCTTTGAAAAATGGCAAATTCCAGCAGCTACAGAAAATATCTTTACTTTCTGAAAAGGCCACAAGTGAATTCTCCAAGTGTTATTGAACTAAATTTTATTTTTAGAGAGAGAGTTTTTTTTTAATATTTATTTCTTAGTTTTTTCCGTGGACACAACATCTTTGTTTGTATGTGGTGCTGAGGATCGAACCCAGGTCACACACATGCCAGGCGAGCGCACTACCGCTTGAGCCACATCCCCAGCCCTTGAACTAAATTTTAATCCCAGAAAATTATTTAGTAATTAATTAATAATTATTTTTAATAATTGATAATTGATATAAAATGTAATAATTTAAATATTTAAAATTAATCATTATTAAATTTATATTATGGGAAGGCTTAGAAAAGAAATTATTATTAGTGACCATCTTCCTTCATAAAAGTACAAGATATGTCCTGATTTCATATGTGAGATGAATCACTAGATTGGATTATATTCTGGATAGAATGTGCATAATTTTTAGTGTTCTGTAAGATAGTGACGAAGTTCTTTTTTTTTTTTAACAAAAATGGATAGATATGGGCTGTTTGTCATGTTGCTTGATGATTCATAACTAATTTAGCTATTTTACCACAAAAATATTTACAAATTCATGTAACATTATTAAGAAACTACTTCTGGTGGTCTGTTAATAGGGCTTCATCTTATTTCAGTCCTGTTACAAATTTGTGTGTATGTGGAATATAATTAAATTTCTAAAAATATAAATTTTTAAAAATAAAGGGTTTATTTTTAATAATTCTGTAAGGTATAAATTACAAAAATTGGTTAAAGAAGGAAATTTTATGTATTTTACTATAATAATTATTTAGATATTAAAAATATTTACATACCATACTATTTACCTATTTAAATTATATAATTCAGTGTTTTCAGCTTATTTACAGAGTTGTACAACCATCACTGTATTTTAGGACATGAGATATATTTATTTTTTCCATAGGTTTTGAAACTTGCTTTTTTTATTTTTTTGTAGTTGTAGATGGCAGAATGACTTTATTTTATTTGTTCCTTTATATGTGGTACTAAGGATTGAACTCAGTGCCTCATACATGCCTGGCAAGCTCTCTGCCACTGAGCTACAACCCCAGCCCCAAAACCTTGTTTTTTGTTTGTTTGTTTGTTTTATTTGTTTTTTATTTTTATGTGGTGCAAGGATTGAACCCAGTGCCTCATGCATGCAAGGCAAACGCTCTACCGCTGAGCCACAACTCCAGCCTGGAACTTGCTTTTTTTTTTTTTTTAAGGTCTGTTATATTCATAGTTTTTAAAATGTTGTGAACTTTTTGAAACTAAGTTCTTTTGTTGTTGCTTAAAATACATTGTGGGACTGGTGATTTAGCTCAATGACAGAGAGCTTGCCTACCATGCTGGAGAACCTGGATTCAACCCCTAGTACCACATAACAAAAAGAATATGGTGGGTGGACATGGTGGCACATGCCTGTAATCCCAGCTACTTCAGAGGCTAAGGTAGGCAAATCCAAAGTTCAAGACCATCCTGGAGAATGTAGTAAAAACCTATCTCAAAAACAGGACTGGAGATATAATTCAGTGCCTGCCTAGTATTTGCAAGGCCCCGGATTCAACTTCCAATACTGCCAAAATAAAACAACAGAAAAACACTGTGGTGTCTGTTCACATTAGTACATTTAGATAGAAGTACATCATTCTTTTTGACTTACTCAAATATTATGTAGATTTACTATGAATTACTTGAATACTCCTCCATTAATAAGCATCTAGATTGAAGTCCTCTTTTGCTATCATAGACAATGTTTCAGGGAACATTCTACCTCTTCACATGCTTGTTTATGTATACCTTTAGTTGTATTGTATTGTTTCTTTTTCTTTTTTTTTAAAGAGAGAGTAGAGAGAGGGGAGAGAGAGAGAGAGAGAGAGAGAGAGAGAGTGTTTTTAATATTTATTTATTTTAGTTTTCGGCGGACACAACATCTTTGTTGGTATGTGGTGCTGAGGATCGAACCCGGGCCGCACGCATGCCAGGCGAGCGCGCTACCGCTTGAGCCACATCCCCAGCCCTCCTCTTAATTCTTGTTCACCTGATTAGATAGATGTTACTCCAGCCATTATATCTCAAGGATCAGTTGCAGCAAATTGTGTCTAAGTTCACAGTGCTAATTAAAGAATTGAATAAGTACCTGAATCCCTTTTTTTTTTTTTTTTTTTGCTTTTCTGTTATTAAATGCTGTGCCTTTCTAGCATCTGAAGAATTCTGACAAAGAAGATTGTATCCAAAAGAGATGATTTGAATGAAAGAACAGTTAAAGGAACTGGGGATGTTAAAGATGTGTGTGTTTATTTTATTCGTTCAATATGTGTGTATACATTTATTAAATACTCACTGTTTGCCAGGCTCTCTCACAGGTAATGCACAGACAATGGTGATGAAACAAAGTCCTGTATTGGAGCTTTTATTTAAGTGAGGGGAAATGGACAATTAACAAGTGAACAAGTACAACTATTTTGTGATAAGAAATAGTGATAAGTACTATCAAGAAAATGAAACAGCTGGGCATGATGACACATACCTGTAATCTCAGCTATTCTGGAGACTGAGGCAGGAGGATCACAAGTTCAAGGTCAGTGTGGATGATTTAGTCTGAACCTGTCTCGAAGTAAAATAAAAAGAGATGGGGATATAGATCAGTAGGTAAAGTGAGGCCCTGGGTTCAATTCCCAGTAGGAGAGGTGGAGGAGGGTGAGCCACCGGGTAAATCAGGTGACCAAGGAAAGAAAGGCTCTTGGAGGAAGAAACAGGACAGAGATCTAAATGACAAGAAAAAGATATCTACATATCTGGCTATAGACATCTTTATGAAACGTAGGTGATAATTATATTCAGTGAGGATGGAAATAGACTCCCAGTAGTTGATAATGACAGAGTTTCAAATCCCAGCAATACCATTTTTGTACTATTTTGCCAAAACTGAATTTGAGTTTGTTCACTTACAAGGTAGAAATAGCCAGAGGTATTAGGGTGATTAAGATAAGAACACAGGCAAGATTGTTTAAACTGATCAGGATCAGGCTATCTGCGTGATGCTTCTCATGAAGAACACATTTCTAATAATTATTACAAATCACAAATGGGATGGCTCACTCTTTTTTTTTTTTTTTTTTTTGGTAGTAGGATTGAACCTAGGGGTGCTCTACCACTGAGCTATATCCCTAGCCCATTTTATTTTTGAGACAGGGACTCTCTAAGTTGCTGAACACGTTGCTAAGTTGCTGAGGCTGATCTTGAACTTGAAATCTTCCTGCCTTAGCCCCTGAGTTGCTGGTATAACAGGTATACAATACTGTGCTTGGCTGGCTCTCTTGAGTTACTAATTTTTCCCATCAATGGGCACATATAAGTAGACTTTAGATGACTGTTCTTTCACTGTGTTGAAAACACACATGTCAAACTGGGGAATAATAAAAGTTGACTTCAGCGATCCTTTCCATATCCCATTATTGATACTCTTACTTGTCTCTCATTTTGGAGAATAAACCCAAATATTTCTTTTTGAAGCGTCTTCTGGATCAGTGATTTAAGTAACTTTTTTTCTTGTACTTTGGGGGATTGAATGTATGCTGTGCAAGAGCTCTACTACTGAGCTATATTGCCGGCCCTTTTATTTTTTATTTTTTTATTTTTTTAAAAAGCACTCTACTGACTAAGCTATATTCTCAGCCCTGATCTGTAACCTTTTTTTTAAAAAAATATTTTATTTACATTTTTAGTTTTCAGCAGACACAACATCTTTGTTTGTATGTGGTGCTGAGGATCGAACCCAGGCTGCACCCATGCCAGGCGAGCGCACTACCGCTTGAGCCACATCCCCAGTCCCATTGCTGGCCCTTTTAAAAGTTTTATTTTGGAATAGGATCTCATTAAGTTGCCCAAACTGGCTCCAGACTTGGAATCCTTCTGTCTCAACCTCCCTAGTTGCTGGGGTTACAGGTTTGTACCTCCACACTCAGCTGAAAACTTTTAAAACAGCAATACCCTTTCTTGTAATAAAATCTTATACTGAAGTCTAATTTTTAAACCTAAAATCAGAGACACTAGATGAAGTTGATGAGAGGTTGCCTATTGTATCATGTATATTATCACTTGGTTATAATCCTTTGCATTTGAATGTGTTTTATATGCTTATTAAAGTTCTCTTTAAATTATTATTTTTTTACTCATTGTAACTATTGCTGGAGGTAAATAAGGTAAATCTATTTTATAGACTTGGAAATAAGAGGTTAGGTAACTTGTCCTGATCCTACAGTAATCCGTAGTGGAGCCAGAACTATAACCTGATCCCTTAACTCAGTGAGGGTTCCCCCTCATAAATGGTACTTTTTAAAAATTTCACTGTATGGCTTTAATTAATTTATTTTTCTTTCATAGGGTTAATTACTTCAATTTTAAAGAACTTTAATATTCCTGGGGACTTTTCTCAAAGGATCATTTTTACTTCTACTCAAGAGAAAGCTCTGAATCTATCAAGTAGTTCTTAAAGTCTTTTGTGTGGGTTACGTATATAGATGTTTTCATGAAGAGGAGTGAAAAGCCAGAAGGATATAGACAAATGAGGCCTAAGACCTTTCCTGCCAGTAATTACACTGGCAGCAGCAGACAAATGTTGCAAGAAATTCGGGAATCCCTTAGGAATTTATCCAAACCATCTGATGCTGCTAAGGCTGAGCATAACATGAATAAAGTGTCAACTGAAGATCCTCGACAAGTGAGAAATACACCCAAATTTGGGACATATCATAAAGCCTTGCAAGAAATTCGAAACTCTCTACTACCATTTGCAAATGAAACAAGTTCTTCCTCTCGGAGTACTTCAGAAATTAATCCACAAATGTTTCAAGATTTGCAGGCTGCTGGATTTGATGAGGTAAGAATTTTTGAGTTAAAAGGTATTCTTACCTTGTACAAAATACTTTAGGTATTTTCAAGTTGAAGTATTTTTTTTAAGTGAATTTAATTGTAATAAATTTTTGTACTCCAGCAACAAAGAATGTTATGTTTACAATCTCATTAATTATTATAACAAAATGAGGGTTATTTAGTTTCTTTTGTGCTACCTATCACTGAATTCTGGAGTTTCTAGAATTTAAAAGGCCAGGTTATAAAGTCAAAGTAGATGTGCATTTGAAGAGAACTAGAGGAAAGATTATATGAAACATGAACTTGATGAGCTTAATGGCTGTTGGAGAAATGACAGCTCTAGGGATATACATTTAAGTTTATAGTAGGGAGATAAAGTTGTGGGTTGGTTGGTTGGTTGGTTTGGAGATGAGGTCTTTCTACATTGTCCAGGCTGGTCTTGAACTCTGGGACTCAAACAAACCTCTAGCTTCAGCCTCCTAATAAGTTGGGACCACACACACCCTGGTCCTGGGAAGAGAAAGAATTGTAATCATGGATTTGATACCATAGTTATGTGTGTACACATCACTTTTAGGCCCAAATCAAATTTCCCCAAAGTACTGAAATTTTAGTTAAAACTAACTATATCAAGTTTTTCTTTAATATTTACCTTCAGAACTTAATTCTGAATGTTTTTGAGATGGGGTCTTACTTTGTTGCCCATGTTCACCTCAAACTTGGAATTCTCCCACATCAATCTCCTGAGTAACTGGAACAACAGTTATACACCACTGCACCAGATTTTTATATGGAAATTTTTTCAAGGCATGCAAATTTAATCCTGTTTGGTTTAGGTTAATAATAAAATTTGTTTCCTATGATAGCATACCTTGTGAATGAATATTTTAGGTGTCAGAAATCATAAAATTTGGCTATATAAAATGTGACAAAATGCAAATAGTAGCTTTTTTCCTGATTATGTATTACCTATTATGTTAAAAATTAGAAAATAATGAGCCAAGCACGATGGTAATGCCTATAATCCCAGTGACTCGGGAGGCTAAAGCAGGAGGATCACAAATTCAAAGCCAGCCCCAGCAAAAGCAAGGCACTAAGCCACTCAGTGAGGCCCTGTCTCTAAATAAAATATAAATAGAGCTGGAGATGTGGCTCAGTGGTTGTGTGCCCCCGAGATCAATCCCCTGTAGCAAAATTTAAAAAAAATTAGAAAATAATGAACTGAAAATGATCTTTAGTTGCATTATACAAAGATAACTACCCTTAAAATTTCTTCACTAGTATTAATATTTAAGTGATCACATTTCTAAATATCTCTATGCAGTCATACATCAATAAGACTTAAGGGAGAACCATTAGGCAATGTCATCCTTGAGTGAATACAGAGTATATTTACACAATCTTAGATGGTGTGGCTGCTATACACCTATACCTAAAGAGACCATCTGTGTGTCATATTTATGAACATAAATATTAAATGTGGTGTATGACTAATTTTTAAAATGAGAACCTAAATATAAAAAGGGATATTTATAATTATACTAGATGGAAAAGGGATTTATTTTTCTGGCTCATTTTATTTAATATTTAACTAATCATTTTCTATCAATTTTGTACTTGGGTATTTGGTGGGGGTGGTGAGTTACAGGGATTAAACTCAGAGACACTCAACCACTGAGCCACATATCCAGTCCTATTTTTTATTTAGAGACAGAGTCTCACAGAGTTGCTTAGGCTGGCTTTGGACTTGCGATTCTCCTGCCTCAGCCTCATGAGCTGCTGGGATTTGTACTTGGGTATTTTAAAAATACTATATCTGGGAGCTGGGATTGTAGCTCAGTGGTAGAGTGCTTGTCTTGCACATGTGAGGCCCTGGGTTCAATCCTCAGCACCAAATAAAATAAATAAATAAATAAATTTCAATAAACAAATAAAAGTGTTAGATTTGTACCAGAAAATAGAGATAGGAAGAGGAAAGTAACTAGGATAATGTTTTTCTGGCAGTTCTCCAGAGTACTTTCTTCTTATTTAGCCAAGGGAAAAGAATAAAGAGAATCATTGATCTTATTCTTTCCTATCATATATATTGATAAACAGAGTTTATCAAATCATATAGCTATGAAAGCCCTTAAGTGACAATGTGTTAGATCAGATAAATCATCATATAGCTGTGTGAACCCATCAGCTAGGTAGTAAGTCATACCATACATGGACCATATCTTTAAAAGACTTAAAAGTCCTTTCTAATGTAGATACTTTTAAGAAATACAAGGCATTGTTCAATGTCCTATTTTCTCTCTTTTTCTTCCTCTGCAGTACTGGTGATTGCCTAGGACCTTCCACTTGCTAGGTAAGCATTCTACCACTGAGCTACATCTCCAGCCCTAATGTCCCATTGACTGGGGTTGTGGCTCAGTGATAGAGCCTTTGCCTAGCATGTGTGAGGCACTGGGTTCAATCCTCAGCACCACATGAAAAGTAAATAAAATGAAGGTATTGTGTCCATCTGTAACTAAAAATATTAAAAAATAATTGCTTTGTATTATAGAATGTGAAAATAAAGGTATTGTGATTTTTTTTTTTTTTTTTAAGATAAAGCAGTCTGTTCTGCTAATTTCTTGAATTGCTTATTCTGGTAACTTCCCATTATATTGTAGAATTTATACTGTTCAAAGCCTAACTTAATACTTCAAAATTCTTAGCCAGTTTCTATTTTATTAACTATGACAAGTTCAAGGCAGGTTCTTTTTTTTCCTTCTTCTTTTTGAGAATGTGTTTCTGGTAACTCTTAAGAATTGAAAGCTCAAATATTTCAAGATTAATTTCCTTATGGGAATAAATGTTAAACAGGATTGATAGGATTGATGCATGCACACAATATACAGTCACTGGAGTTTTTTGGTTTTTCTTTTGGGGTCATGGTATTAGGGGTTGAACCAAGGGATTTTACAATTTAGCTACATCCCAGCTCCTTTTTATTTTATTTTGAGGCAGAGTCTTGCTAAATTGCTCACACTAGCCTCACACTTGAAATCATCCTCAGTCTCCCAAGTCACTGGGATTATTATAGTTATGTGCCATCACACTGTCTACTGGATTTTATTTTGGGTTATAAACATGAAAACCAGGCATAATTATGTCACACTAATGTTTTCCTGTCACATAAGAGTTTTATTCCAGAATTATTGAGTTGAGGATACTCTTATAGTGGCACTACACCCCTACTCAGTGAACCTTGGTTGATGTTACAGAAGGAAAAAATAGTTGAAAACATAACAATAAATATTAAGATAAAAAAGCCATGCATGCCTGCAATTCAAGCAGCTTGGAGGCTGAGGCATGAGGATTATAAGTTCAGCCTCTGCAACTTAGTGAAAACCTGTCTCAAAATTTAAAAAAGATTAAAAGGGCTGGGATGTATCTCAGTGGTAGAGTGCTCCTGAGTTAAATCCCTAATACTAAAATACATAACTAAATAATTGCCAGCTTAATAAAAAATATAGGCAGAAATTCCAGTGCAATTAAGAAGAATATGATTTCCACATATTGAAAAAGGACAATGGGTGCCAATTTTCTTGCCAGTGAAGGTGGCATTGCCATGTGATAGATAATAGCATATTTATAGTACGCTTGGTTTAACCAGTTTTAAAATTAAGCACTCCCTCAGGAATTCTAATTTTAGGTGATTTGTATTCTTTCAGATTTGCATACAAAATGAGACTTATTAGTTTCTTTGTATCTCATTACAAATTTGCAAAATCTAATTGGCATTAAATGTGACCATATTGTACTTTTGTTTCAGTTAGGGATTGAGTTTGGTCACTTTTAACAAAAATCAAGGGGGAGAAATGAGTTACAGTAGATTGGGTAGAGAGAGAAGAGGGGAGGGGAGGGGAGGGGAGGGGGGATAGTAGAGGATAGGAAAGGCAGCAGAATACAACAGACACTAGTTTGGCAATATGTAAATCAGGGTGGATGTGTAACCAATGTGATTCTGCAATCTGTAAACGGAGTAAAAATGGGAGTTCATAACCCACTTGAATCAAAGTGTGATGTAATGTTTTGAACAACCAACAATAAAAATTAATTTAATAAAAAAATAAATTACAGAGAGAACAATTTGAGTTCAAATAGTAAATAAAACAAAAACTCTCCACCATCATTGTACATTTAAATATTAAAATTCTTTGTTAGTTTAAAAATGAAAAAAAAAATCAAAACAACTCTTTAAACAAGATAACAATTCACTTTAAATAGCTGTTGTTGGCTTAGACTGTTAAAGATCAGAGCCAGGGACTTTTTATTAGTGTCAACTTTTACTTCTTAGTGGCAGCATTCTCTAGTGCAGGTATTGTATTAGCTCCCTAGGAAACAGGATGCAAGGACCAGTACCTGAATGAGAGATAGCAAAATTATTCCAGAAACAAGAAGCGTAACCTTCTCAAGAAAGGGAGAATGGATCTTAAATAGTCAGTAGGTTTCTACCAGATCCTTCTTTGTTTGGTCTCACATTCATCTTCCAGTCATTTTACATAAGATGTTAACATCTGTTGGCAGCCTGTTCACCCATTAGTCTTTCTAAGCCATTTCCTATTTTTTAGATATCATTTGAAAATATTAAATCCTCTAGAACAAATATGTTGTTGCCTCCCTCTTGAAAACTGCATGTCATCATATTTTCTTTATGTTAGTGTATAATTTGGGTTTACATTTAACATAAAGGATAAGTAATAAAGGAAGACAACTAGCATTTGAGCTCTAGGCACTGCACTTAAGAGCTTTATGCATTTTCTTATTTACTCCTCACATCAACCCTGTAACTTCTTATAGTTGAAGAAACAGATTCTGAAATGTTAACTTACCAGAATTCACACAGTAATGTTGAGTTGCTAGAATTCAACCTCAGATCAGTCTAATTCCAAATCCTGTTTGTTGCATCACACTATCTAACTTCTTCTTTTTTGCATTACAATCTTTATTACACATATAGAGCACAATTTTTCGTATCTCTACATAAAGTTATGTTCACGTCAATTTATGCCGTTATATATGAACATTTTTTTGCATTATAATTTTTAATATACATATATACCACAATTTTTCATATCTCTGTATATAAGGTATGTTTGTATATAAGGTTATGTTGATACCCAATTCAAGTCTTCATATATGTACTTTGTATAATGATGACCATCACATTCCACCATCCTTGCTAATCCCCTTCCCCCTCCCTTTCCCTCTCACCCCTCTTCCCTATCTAGAATTAATCTAATCCTCCCATGCTCTCCCTCCTTGCCCCACTATAAGTCACCCCCTTTACTATCTAACTTCTTAAAATCTTCATCACATAATTATTATATTTAGTTTAGTATTTTCTTTACCATTTTTCCTATTTTTTTTTTTTGCCCCTACAAATATAATTTCCTGAAAATGTAACCTCTTAAGAGGATAAAAACCAGAACTTTGTAGTTCTTTTATTAGTATACATAGTGGCAAAGTTGCTTGATAAAATATTTAATGATACAAAATGTCTTTTCCAGTACTTTGATTGATGCTTTAAAAAAAAAAATTCTGGTAGTCTCTGTTTATATAAGAATGAAAAATAGTCAAAATTGCGTTATAATTGTACCCTGAAGAAGTTAATCCTAGAAGGAAACAGTAACACGTTATATAAAGCTGAAAATATTCAAGAAACGTTTTAAAGTTTTTCTTTGTTTAACTTTAGTAATTTGAGATTGGGGTTTTGGGGAGTTTGGGATTTAGTTCAGTGGCACAGTGTGTGCCTAATGTGCACAATGCCAAGTTTTTTTGTTTGTTTGTTTTTAATAGTTGCAAATAGAATATTGATATTAAGAACTGGGGCTTTGTCATTTATAATTAGGAATTTCCCTGGTAGAACTCAGTGTTCTTTCTCTTTTATTAATTATAAGATTTAAAGTTTTTTTCTTTTTTGTTTTTAAACTTTATATCAGGATATGGTTATACAAGCTCTTCAGAAAACTAATAACAGAAGTATAGAAGCAGCGATTGAATTCATTAGTAAAATGAGTTACCAAGATCCTCGGCGGGAGCAGATGGCTGCAGCAGCTGCTAGACCTATTAATGCCAACATGAAACCAGGTGATTCATCAAACCTTTTTTCTAGTCTCTTTTATGGTACAGTTTTTAAACACTTAAGTATGTCAAGTCTTTGGTCTTAGACATTTTTAAAAGCAGCCCAATAAATGAAAGTCTGAAATTTTAACACTATAAAGTTATAGTGTTATGCCAGAATTACTTTGAGGGTGAAACTTTCATGTTTAAAAATTAAAGGGTAATTCTAATAAGCAGCAGTCTAATCTGCAAACTACTTGACTGGTTGTATCATAATCTAAATGAATCATTTCCTCCCAATATAACATTATACAAGTTTTTTAAAATATTTTTTCGTACTATAAAAAAGTAAAATGTATTCATTATAGAATATTTGGATAAGAATTACTAACAGTAATTAGTAATTACTGTAGTAATTACTAATTACTGTTAGTAACTCCACATTTAGATGTGTTGCTCCCAGTCTTTTCTCAAGGGAAATCTGAGTAAATCTATAATACACAGGTATTTTTGATTCTTGTGGCTGAGGCAAAAGGGAAGGGCCTCTTACTGAATCCTACTTTATTCACTTAAAATACCATGCATAAATTTATTTGTTATTTAAGTGTGTATATGTATGTGTGTGTATGTGTGTGTGTATGTAATTGAACCCATCAAGCCACATCTTCCATCCAGTTTTTACTTTTTATTATTATCTTTTTAAATTTTTTAGTTGTCAATGGATCTTTATTTTATTTATTTACATGCGGTGCTGAGAATCAAAGCCAGTGCCTCACACATGTTAAACAAGTGCTTTACTACTGAGCCACAACCTTAAACCCCTGGTTCTTACTTTTCAGACAGGGTCTCACTAGGTTGCTGAGGTTAGCCTCAAACTTGTGATCCTTTTGTCTCAGCCTCCAGAGTCTCTGGGATCACAGGCATGTGCCAGTACACTTGTGCAGATTTTCTTTTATAGAAACAGAGGTCATATTGCCCACCCTAGTGACATCATTTAACCTTAATTATCATATGTGGTCCCATTTGAAGGGGAATGAGGGGTTAGGGCTTCGACATGGATTTTGGAAGAGGTCATAATTCATAATTATAGGGTAACTTGTTTCTCCAGTAGTAGGAACATAATTCAGATTGAAGAGGGCTGAGGAATCAATATGATATGAGGTAGAAAAGAACACAAATATAGCAACTTTTTGTGGAGGGTGTATAAGAGCTTGAACCTAGAAGCACTTAACCACTGAGCCTCATTTCCAGCCCTTTTTGGGTTTTATTTAGCAACAGGGCTTCACTTAGTTGCTAAGGCTGTCTTTGAACTCGTGATCCTCCTGCCTCAACCTCCTGAGTTACAGGCATGCACCACCATGCCTGGCCAATATATAGCAACTCTTAGAGAAATTTTTCTGTGACAAGAGAATAAGGAAAGACATCAGCAAGAGTAGTGCTTCCTAAATAATCTGTGGTGAGGTACAGTGTGTGACTACAGATCAGAAGATGCAGATAATCTGTGGTGAAGAGCTTTGGTTTCTTTAATTTCCAATTAATTATAAATTAATCAATTTATAAAATACAATAAAAATGAATTGGAAAATTAAAATTTTAAATGACAAAGTATAAATCCAAATATTTTATTATAAGGCTTAATAGACATCAGATTGCTCCATCAAATTTCTGTAAAAGTTCTATCACTTATTTATTTATTTATTTTGGTGCCAGGGATTGGACTCAGAGGCTCTTAACCACAGAGCCACATCCCCATCACACCCCACACCCCCCCCCCCGTTTTAAAAATATTTTTTTAATCGTTGATAGATGCTTATTTATTTATACGTGGTGCTGAGAATCGAACCCAGTGCCTTATACATACTAGGTAAGTGTGCTACTACTGAGCTACAGCCCCAGCCCCCCCAATCATTTTTTTATATTTTATTAGAGATAGGGTCTCGATGAGTTTCTTAGGGCCTCGCTAAGTTGCTGAGGCTGGGTTTGAACACTTTCTTGGTCCTCCTGCCTCAGCCTCATAAATCACTGGGATTACAGGCTTGGGCCCCATGTTTGACAAAAGTTCAATTCTTATTCTTTTTTTTTTTTTTTAAATATTTTTTAAGTAGTTAATAGACCTTTATTTTATTCATTTATTTTTATGTGGTGCTGAGAAACGAACCCAGTGCCTCACACGTGCTAGGCAAATGCTCTACCACTGAGCCACAACCCCAGCCCCTCAATTCTTATTCTTCTATACTTAACTGATGTTGGACTACTATTAGTTGTCTACCAGCTCTAGAAAACATTTTGAGGTAGGCCTGAATGGAAGTGGAGAAAGAATTGTCTTTATTTGTTTATTTATTTTGACATGTTCCTTTTTTTTTTTTTTTCTTTTTTAGTAGATCTTAGTTTTGAAAGCAATTTTAGGTTCACAACAAACTTGAGCAGACAGAATTTCCAGACAGACTCTTTATCTCTACCCCATAGACATGTTTAAAAGATAACTGGAGGGGCTGGGCATATAGCTCAGTTGGTAGAGTGCTTGCCTGGCATATACAAGGCGCTGGGTTCAATCCCCAGCACCACTAAAACAAAACAAAACAAAGCAAAATCCTGAATACTCTTCAGTTAAGAGGATGAATTTAAATATTCAAGGGAGAAGGATCAGTTAAGGTTCCTGAGAAGCCAAGGAGAGATAGGATCAAAAACATAGGATGGGGGATCAGCTACAAAGAGCAAATCATTCTGCTTTCATAGGCCTAGATAGGCCTGTGTTACATAGGGAAGATAAGGGAGTTACTTTCTAATGTCTTCTCCTTTCTCTGAAGTAGAAAATCAATTCATTTGCTTAAGTCATGAATGAGGAATAAGAAGACAATTTCAGGAGACTGAGGATGGTAATAGTGGAGACCAAAGAAATAATAAAATTTCCTGGTCATGCTGAGTCATTTGAGGATACTAATTAGGAATGTATAGTAGAATCAATCTACCTATTTCCAATGAACAAAGTTTTATTAATCAAGTCCATAATAAGATAGATGATTGCTGTTTAAATCCTTTATAGAGGATACTCTAACTCTGCCTTCATTGACTTTGAATTCCTTACAAATTCTTCTCCATAGTCTGATTACCTGTCATATTTCGTCTAGTACCATTCTTCTCCTCATCTGATGCTCTGTGACTGGACTGGGTTTTTTTTGTTCTTGGAAAATACAAAGCTCCCAACCCAGGATCATTATCCAGTGAATTCTTAAGTCACCCTCCCAGAGGAGCCCCCCCCCCCGCCTTTTTAAAAAAATTCTAATTAGTTATACATGACAGTAGAATGTATTTTGGTTTGTTGTACACAAATAGAGCACAGCTTGTCGGGGCAGGGGGGCTGGGGACCGAACCCAGAGCCTTGTGCATGCAAGGCAAGCACTCTACTATATCCCCAGCCCCACAAATAGAGCACAGCTTTTCATTTCTCTGGTAGTATACAATATAGTGTACAATCTTGGGTTTTTTTTTTTTCCTTCAATATATTCTTAGTTGTCAATGGACTATATTTTTAAATTTATATATATGCAGTGCTGAGAATCAAACCTAATGCTTCCTTTATTTGTTTATTTAATTTTTTGTGGTGCTGAGGATCGAACCCAGTGCCTTGAACATGCTAGGCAAGTGCTCTGCCACTGAGCTGTAGCCCCAACCCCCCATTTTCTTTTTAAATTAAAAAAATATTTTTTTAACTCATAAAAAATGGATGAGTGATATGGTATTAGCCTTAGCTGGCTCTCTGAGGAAAGTGAGACTGGGCCTTGTGCCTGGAGGACTTGTCTGGCTTGCCCAGAGAGATAACTTTCTCTGAAGTCCAAAATGCTGCTACAGCCTAGATAAAGCAAAGTGCTAAACTGTACATTCTGAACATATATTATTTTGTTCTGTTTTTTGGTCACATTATTACATTATTTTCTCTCAAGATAATATTAATCTTTGTGGGGTTTTCTTTTAGGAGAAATGAATGAGTCCAAGAATAGACAGTGGCCTGGGACAAAGTTTCTCTGGGCTCTAGGTTTGATATTTGAGTTCAGTCTCTTCTCCAGTGGTTAATCCTTCCTGGTTATTGAGATTTCATAACAACTGCTTTCCTTCTGGGAAGGGAACTTACCATAGTCAGATAAGTGCTTCTGAGAAAGTGAATCACTGACCATGGGGAAATGGGTGAAGGAGACCTTAGTTCTGGCATTTTGTCCAGTTTAGCATGTCAGATCTTTGGGGTATCATTTTCTGAGTCTCAACAGTGTTTTTAAAATTTATTTATTTACTTTAAAATTTATTATATATTTTTGAGAGGACAGACTGTCTCATTTTAAATGCTGCTTTTTAAAATATATTGTCCATTTTCTTATTTCATTTATTTAGAAACTCCATCAAAAGCAGATACTATAAACTATACTGTATGAAATGTTCAGCTGGTTATCCCCTACTTTTTCTTTTAAAACCCATGTTAAAATTTACTTAAAAGTAGGTATGGTGGTGCATGCCTGTTTTCCCAACAAGTCAGGCTGTGGCAGGAGGATTGCAAATTCGAGGTAGCCTCTGCAACTTAGCAAGACCTTGTCTTAAAATAAAAAAATAAAACGTTCTGGGGATGTGTAGCTCAGTGGTAAACCATCCCTGGGTTAATCCCCAGAACCCTCCCCCCCCAAAAAAAAAAAATAGTAGCTGTATCTATCAAAATTACAAATGGACATACCCTTTGGCTCAGTAGTTTCGTCTCTAGAAATTTATCTGCAGATACCTGTGCGTATATATATGTATATATATATGAAATTCTATGGCCTGGGGATATGGCTCAAACGGTAGCCATGCGTGCGGCCCGGGTTCCATCCTTAGCACCACATACAAACGAAGATGTTGTGTCCGCCAAGAACTAAAAAAAATAAATAAATGTTAAAATTCTCTCTCTGTCCCCCTCTCTCTCTCACTCTCTCTTTAAAAAAAAAAAAAGAAAGAAATTCTATTTGCACAAAATTTTTCATTGCTTTGTGTGTGGGGGGGAAGGCACACAAGACTGGAAACAATATAAATGCCCATCTGTTAAGGCACTGATCAAATAAATTAAGATACTCTATACAATAGGTGGGAAAAACATGATAACATTTTATTTATTTATTTATTTGCTTATTTATTTATTTATTTAGTGCTAAGAATTGAGCCCAGGGGCACTTAACCACTGAGCCATATCCCCAGCCCTTTTTTATATTTTATTTAGAGACAGAGTCTTGCTGAGCTGCTTAGGGCCTCTAAGTTGCTGAGGCTGAGTTTGAACTCGTGATCCTACTGCCTCAGCCTCCTGAGTCCTGGGATTATAGGTGTATACCATTGTGCCCAGCATAACATTATTTTAAATGAGGAAACACTTTATATGCTGATATAGAACCTCCATTTTTTAAATGAAAGAAAAATGCAGGCACAATACTACATAGAAAGTACACTACTTTCCTCTCATGTGCTAATGATGACATTAGTTACCTTTAGTGAAGGAAACTGCTGGGATAAGGGACAAAAGTGAGTATTATTATTTTGATTTTTTTTTTTTTTGATGGTCCTAGGGATTAACCAGGCCCTTGTACATGCCAGGCAAGCACTCTACCAACTGAGCCATAATCCCAATTCCATATTGTACCTTATAAATTTTGAGCCATAAGAATATATTAGTCAAAAATAAACAAGCTTCATTATTTTATAATTATTTTTCTTTTGGGGCTAAATCAAGATATTTAACATGCAGTGCCTCACATAATTTTTTTTTTGGTAGTGAGAACATTTCAAATTTCAGCAGATTTCAAGGATACAATGCTTTGTTATTAACTATGTCACCATGTTGTACAAATAGATCTTTTGAACTTATTCTCATTTTCTTAATAAAAATTATCTTTTTTAATACTGAAGATTGAACCCAGAGGTACTTTATCACTATGCCCACCCATCTTTTTTTTTTTTTTCCTTAATTTGTGTCTTGCTAAGTTGCTGGGGCTAGCCTCAAATTTATGATCCTCCTGCCTCAGCCTCCCAATTTCTTAATTCTTGAGACTCGAGTATCATTTAGTCATATCAGAATTTTAAGCTAAAGTTTTCAGAAGCAAGAGGTTAAAAATATGATTTTTTTTCTCTTTTATTATCATAGGGAGTGTGCAACAATCAATTAACCGTAAACAAAGCTGGAAAGGCTCTAAAGAATCTTTAGTTCCTCAGAGACATGGCCCACCTCTGGGAGAAAGTGTGGTCTACCGTTCTGAAAGTCCCAACTCACAGACAGATGTAGGAAGACCTTTATCTGGATCTGGTATAACAGCATTTGCTCAAGCTCACCCTAGCAATGGACAGAGAGTGAACCCCCCACCACCACCTCAAATAAGGAGTGTTACTCCTCCACCACCTCCAAGAGGCCAGACTCCCCCTCCACGAGGTACAACTCCACCTCCCCCATCTTGGGAACCAAACTCTCAAACAAAGAGGTATTCTGGGAACATGGAATATGTAATCTCCCGAATCTCTCCTGTTCCACCTGGGGCATGGCAGGAGGGCTATCCACCACCACCTCTTAACACTTCCCCCATGAATCCTCCTAACCAGGGACAGAGAGGTATTGGTTCTGTTCCTGTGGGCAGACAACCAATCATCATGCAGAGTTCTAACAAATTTAACTTTCCACCAGGGAGACCTGGAATTCAGAATGGTGGTGGTCAGACTGACTTTATGATGCACCAAAATGTTGTCCCTGCTGGCACTGTGAATCGGCAGCCACCCCCACCCTATCCTCTGACCCCAGCTAATGGACAAAGCCCTTCTGCTTTACAAACAGGGGGGTCTGCTGCTCCTTCGTCATACCCAAACGGAAATATTCCTCAGTCTATGATAGTGCCAAACAGAAACAGTCATAACCTGGAACTTTATAACATTAATATACCTGGACTGCAGACAAATTGGCCTCAGTCATCTTCTGCTCCTGCCCAGTCATCCCCAAGCAGCGGGCATGAGATTCCTACATGGCAGCCTAACATACCAGTGAGGTCAAATTCGTTTAATAACCCCTTAGGAAATAGAACAAGTCACTCTGCTAATTCTCAGCCTTCAGCTACAACAGTCACTGCGATCACACCAGCTCCCATTCAACAGCCTGTGAAAAGTATGCGTGTATTAAAACCAGAGCTACAGACTGCGTTAGCACCTACCCACCCTTCTTGGATACCACAACCAATTCAGACTGTTCAACCCAGCCCTTTTTCTGAGGGTACTACTTCCAATATGGCTGTTATGCCACCTGTTGCTGAAGCTCCAAACTATCAAGGTCCACCACCACCTTATCCAAAACATCTGCTACACCAAAACCCATCTGTTCCTCCATATGAACCTGTAAATAAATCTAGTAAAGAGGATCAGCCTAGCTTATCCAATGAAGATGAGGGTGAGAAAAATTTTGAAAATGTTGATAGTGGGGATAAAGAAAAGAAGCAGATTACAACTTCACCTATCACTGTTAGGAAAAACAAGAAAGATGAAGAGCGAAGAGAATCTCGTATTCAGAGTTATTCTCCTCAGGCATTTAAATTCTTTATGGAGCAGCATGTAGAAAATGTCCTCAAATCTCATCAGCAACGTCTGCATCGTAAAAAACAATTAGAGAACGAAATGATGCGGGTAAAACTTTTTAAAATAACTATTTTATACTTAATCATCTGTTTCCTGGATATTTATTTTAAACACAATATTTTAAACACAATATTTTTTTTCCAGTATGTTTCTTATTTCTTATAGCAAGATATATTATCAGTCATTAAAGTGAATGAACTTTAAAGCATTTTTTATTATAGCATTTTATTTTAGTATTTCAAGATTTACTCAGAATTTCCTGTAGTAAAGTTCTTGTAAATTTTAAAAATATATAATTTATAATATACTGGTTTAGGTATATATAACATTTTATACAGAAATTGGAATAAGGGTTATTTTCTAGATTTTGTGCATTATCTTACAACATTCAAAAATCAGTGAGAAATATCTGGGTCAAAGTATCAGATATCTCATCAATTAGTTTCCTCTTCTAATTTCATTTTAATAGTATTCTGAGAAAAATATGCTGATAATAATAAGTCAGAATATAAACACTTTGATCATTTTGATTTGTGTTGTGATTCTACATAAATCTCTTTACTAGATACTACATAGTATCATGATCATCATCATCATTTTTATCATATGCTTAGAATTTGAAGATTTGATTTCTCATCTTATTACCAGTCAAAAATCCAAGAAGCTCAAACTTGTGATTTAACAACTTCACATACTTCATAAAGTTATTCTTCAAAAATTATTATTCTGAATCAGATTTTATATACAACATTGTTATTCTTATTATAAACTAAATTGTGTTTGAGTAAAACCATGATTATTTCTATGACTTTATCCATATTGTAGTTCTTAGAATTTCTTACTAAAGTCTGTCTGTATGTATTTTCTTAGTTCATTTTTCCTTTTTCCTCTTCACTTTCACTAATAGCTGATTTAAACTTTTATGGTGTTGGAAGCTTTGCTGACTTCTGTAGCCTCCATTACTGTGTAGGCAAGTAAGATTTTAAGAGAAACAGTTCTATATTACTAAGTTTGGCATGCCACTCTTTTCTTAGAAGATGTTGCATGGAAATGTGCATCCTAACAGAAGCATGAGGTTGCTATATTTTAATTAGTCTTGACATTTCTAAAATTAGGCCCTACTTTTCTAGTTGAATTCTTTTTCCATTTAGACCCTTCAGTTAGATCTTTATTAATTAGTTCTTTATTAGCCAAAAGAAACCCTTCTAAATCAGGTATTTCATATCTACTTAGAAGTTTTTTTTATTTCTATTTCTGTGAGTCACACCAACTATTTTTTGAAATATTCCAAAATATCTAAAAGATACTTTGTAGCCAAACAATTTGTCCCTTTTAAATGGGATAGAGACACTTAATTTTGTGGTTGCAATGAGCTGAGTCCTACCCCTTCTCTGATGCTCTAAGAAAGGTAAAAAAAAGAGTATCAATGACTAGTACCTACTTCTTGAGAACAGGAAAATGATTGATAGGGTAGAGAAAGCATTGTTCTGTTTGTAATACATCACTTTTATTTATTTATTTATTTATTTATTTATTTATTTTTAGAACAAATGAGCTTGGAATGCAAGAATTTTTTTTCATGTAGGATAAAATGAGAGGAAGAATATTTAAGACCTAGACATCCACAAAAAGTAGCATTTAGTGAAGGCAATCTAATCCTATCATTTGGGATGAATATGCATGGAGACAGTTGAGAGTGCATGTGGACAAATATGTGTTTTATTGCACATTGGAAAGCTATTCTTTGAGTGTTCTATTAGAGAAGAATAGAAAGCTGACTGTTGGTATCCTCATTTTCTTGTTTCCCTTAGCTGAATTTGCATAGTTACTTTGTGCATTCTGTTAACTATCTCTTAAGCTACACTTTTGATCATTTAATTTTCTCTGAAATACATTCTAGATGTCTAACATGCTTTATTAAAAATTATTGTGCATTTAACCTTTACATATATGCCTGAATTTCTTCTAAGCTATTTCTAATACTGAATATTGAAGATGACAATTCCTCATTTAACATCTAGCTTATTTACCTAGGTTGGATTATCTCAAGATGCCCAGGATCAAATGAGAAAGATGCTTTGCCAAAAAGAGTCTAACTACATTCGTCTTAAAAGGGCTAAAATGGACAAGTCTATGTTTGTGAAGATAAAGACCCTAGGAATAGGAGCATTTGGTGAAGTGTGTCTAGCAAGAAAAGTAGATACTAAGGCTTTGTATGCAACAAAAACTCTTCGAAAGAAAGATGTTCTACTTCGAAATCAAGTCGCACATGTTAAAGCTGAGAGAGATATACTGGCTGAAGCTGACAATGAATGGGTAGTTCGCTTATATTATTCATTCCAAGATAAGGACAATTTATACTTTGTGATGGATTACATTCCCGGGGGTGATATGATGAGCCTCTTAATTAGAATGGGCATCTTTCCAGAAAATCTGGCACGGTTCTACATAGCAGAACTTACTTGTGCAGTCGAAAGTGTTCATAAAATGGGTTTTATTCATAGGGATATTAAGCCTGATAACATTTTGATTGATCGTGATGGTCATATTAAATTGACTGACTTCGGCCTTTGCACTGGCTTCAGATGGACACATGATTCCAAGTACTATCAAAGTGGTAAGCAAACTCAAAAATTTAATTTATAATAATGTGATTTATTTATGCAGTAAAATATAAGATGGGGTCATCACTGGATGGGAGCCAAAAGACCTGGGTCAAGTCTTGAATTTTGGATAAACTTGGATGAATCTTTAGGCGCATAGACTTAGAAAATGAAACATTGTTAAATTTGATTAAATACTACTGATATTTTTTTTAGTTAAGCTGTTTAAAAATTTTTATTTTGAAGTAATAGATGGTGTTTTTAAATAGTTTTAAAGTGAAGCCTTATATCCAACAATCAGTACTTTACAAATCCTTAAATAATCACTTCCCTTTCTGTCCTCCAGAGATAACCATTGTTTAAAAAGTTTATAATCAGATCTTTTCCTTTTCTCCAATTTTTATCACATATGTATATATCCTTAAACAATATATTATTTCATTTTGCTTACTCTTTATTTAAATGTAATCATTTTATTGTATTCTTCTGTGTTGGTTTCTTTTATTTGTTTGAGATTTCTCCATGTTATTACATGTAACTTTTATTTTCACTGCTGTTTAGGATTCCATTATGCAACTGTTACACAGTTTATTTAATGCAAAATACTTTTTATGTGTAGATTCTGTTTAGTCCTGTGACACTATGAGGCAGGATGAAGAAAAACAAAGCTTAGCTAGATAAGTAACTTGCTCAAGGTCAGACACAAATTAAGTGTAAGGGCTAGGCTTTGAACCCAGGTTTGTCTGATTACAGGGCCCATGTTATTTCTACCACACCACACTGCCTCACCAAGATTCCTTCAAGCGCTAATGGAAGTGTAAGTTGATCTAACATTTGTTGAATACTTACTATGTACTAGGTACTTTACATATATTCTAATTTAATATTCATAACAATCCTCTGAGGTGTTATTAGCCTTCTGTGCTTCTGTGAACACAAGCAGGTTAATATTAAATGGGTGGAATTTTATGTCTCCTCAGATTCAACTTAATTATTAGTTGGAGTTCTTCTTAAAAACATGATCCCTAAGTTCTATTCCAGTCTTTTGAATAAAATTTTTCACTGGAAAATGGAAAGCATACTTTAATCAAACTTCCCAGATGATGATTATAGGTAGATTAATTTCAGATATGATTCTAGGTGACTTCATGCCGTCATAGTTTTAAATACTGTATATATTCAATGACTTCCAATTCTTTCTTTTCAGAAATGATGTCTCTCTGAAATTACCAATTTCTGTATCCTGTTACTTACTGGGTGTTTCCACATGGATTTCCAGTAGGCTTTTCAGAGGTCATATTGGCAATAGGGGACTCTTAATAGCCATACTCATGTCTGCTTCCTTTGAGTAGTCCCCATTTTAGTATTTTAGTAAATTATACACCACCTATGCCCACTGAGGTAACCTTCATTTTCTTTCCCATATTTTCACATCTGATTCATCCATCCATCATCAGGTCTTGTGTATGCCACTACTAAAATGTACCCTGAATCTATGTCTATGTACTTCTCTGTAGATCCATGTCCCAACTTATTTGTAACAGCCTTTTTTTTTTTTTTTTTTTTACAGTACTAGGGATTGAACCAAGGGTCTAGCATATGCTAGGCACTGAACTACATCCCCAGGCCCAGACTGGATCTTAGTAAGCTGTCCAGGCTAGCCTCAAACTGATGGTCCTCCTGCCTTAGCCTCCCATATAGCTGGGATTATAAACATGTGCCAACACATTCAGCTTTTTCTTTTCCTTTTTTATTGTACTGGGAATTTAACCCAGGGGTGCTTAATCACTGAGCCCTTTTTATTTTGAGACAAGTTTTCAGTAAATTGCTGAGGCTGGTTGCAAACTTGTGATTCTTGTGTCTCAGCCTCCTGAGTCGCTGGGATTAAAAGACACAATGTCTTGCTATGTTGCTCAGGCTGACTTTAAATTCCTAAACTTCTGGATTCAAGTGATTCTCCTGCTTTCGCCTTCTGAGTAGTTGGAACTACCGGCATGCACCAACACCACACCACCTTTTTTTTTTTTTTTTTAGTTGTGCTTGGGCTCAAACCTAGGGTCTTATGCATGTAAAATATCTGTGCTACCACTGAGCTGTACCTTCAGCCTTGTCATCTGTTATAATTTGTGTATTTGTTGTGTTTCTTCCCATATTAGAATGTGAGATGCCCGAATGAAGAACCTTATTTTTTATTAATGTCATTTGTTGAATGAATCACAGATCTAATTTGAAAATTTGCCCAGAATAGTAAAGGAATAGCCTTGACTTTTAAATATGTACGCACTAGATATTGAACGCATGAGCTTTACCACTGAGCTATTATTTTTTATTTTAAGGCAGGGTCTTACTAAGTTGCTTAAGGCCTCATTAAGTTGTTGAGGCTGGCCTAGAATTTCTGCCTCAGCCTCTGAAGTCACTGGGATTTCAGGCGTGTACCACCATTCCTGGCCCGAATAACATCCTAATCCTACCTACTCATGACTTATATAATTATCATTTAACTTTAAGTAAATTAGTGAGTCTTGCATTTTTCATAATGTAAAAGTTTTCCTATTCATGTCTCAGAAAACAGGCCCTAGTCAATAATAAACACCATCAGTGATTTGGCATACTTTATAGTTTAGATTGTCACTCAGTATCATTCTATCTTTTTTTTTTTTTAATTCTTATTTTTTAGTTCTAGTTGGACACAATACCTTTATTTGTTTTTAGTAGTGCTGAGGATTGAATCTAGGGCCCTGTGCCTGCTAGGCGAGCGCACTACCACTGAGCCACAACGCCAGCCCTCACTCTTATCTTTTCTTACAATAGCTTAAAGGAAAGAAGTAAGTTTGAAGCCCCACATCTATTAAGCAGATTAAGTAGAATTCAGAATCAACTCTACATGGCTCCAAATCCCAAACAATTTCATTAGACCACCTAATACATGTTGTTAACCCAAAATCATGGTATCAGAAGATTAAACAGACTTTAGATTTACTTTTGTCTTTGTTGTTTTCATTTATTGTTGTTCTTTTTTCTGTACAGGAGACCATCCTCGGCAAGATAGCATGGACTTTAGTAATGAATGGGGTGATCCCTCAAATTGTCGATGTGGAGATAGATTAAAGCCATTAGAGCGGAGAGCTGCACGCCAGCACCAGCGATGTCTAGCACATTCTTTGGTTGGGACTCCCAATTATATTGCACCTGAAGTATTGCTGCGAACAGGTAAAGCATTTTAAAATAAATAATCTCAATAGGCCTTTAGACAACCAAAATTTACACTAACATATGCCTTATTTTTCAACCTTATTGTGAAATATTGATTTTAGAGTGTAAATTGGTGGATCAATGTTAGTGTTGTATTAATTCTGAGCATTTTTAAGTTTATAAGTTTTTGGTATCTTATTTTAGGATATACACAGTTATGTGATTGGTGGAGTGTTGGTGTTATTCTTTTTGAAATGTTGGTGGGACAGCCTCCTTTCTTGGCACAGACACCATTAGAAACACAAATGAAGGTAAGGTATAGAATCTATACCAAAAGAATTATCCTAGAGGGCTGGGGATGTAAATCAGTTGGTAGGGTGCTTGTCTTGCATGCACAAGGCCCTGGGTTCAATCCCCAACACCATAAAAAAGAAAAAAAAAAAGAATTATCACCGAGTCCCTATATCATATGCCTTTATTTATTAGTGCAATTTGAGTATCAAATTTCATATATGTTCACATTTTCAAATATTTGTATATGCATAATGAAATATCTTGGTAATGATACCCAAGTCTAAACACAAAATTCATTTGTTTCATTACACCTTACATAGACTGAAGGAAATTTTATACATTTTTAGTGTGCCTTTGTGGGCATTTTGTTGCTATTTTGTTTATTCCAAAATCACAACAAACCCAAGGCCTCAGACATGTAAGGCAAGTTCTTGCCACTGAGCAATGTCCCTAGCCTCTGTTCTTTCTTCTGAACTAAAATCATCATGTGAGGTCAGGTGGGAATTGTCCATTTGTGGCATCATGTGAGCCCTAAAATCGTTTTGGATTGTATAGCATTTCAGACTTTGGATATTTAGACTAGGGGTGCTCAACCTATATTTCACTTAGAAGTATCTTAATCTGGAGTTAAAGAATAAATTTATAAGGGTATATGAACCCACTAAAATTCCATGCATGAATTTTTTTTTTTTAATGGGTATTGGGGTTAGAACTCAGGGGCACTCAACCACAGAGCCACATCCCCAGCTTTCTTTTGTCTTTTATTTAGAGCTAGGGTCTCACTGAGTTGCTTAGTGCCTTGCTATTGCTATGGTTGGCTTTGAACTCTCAGTCCTCCTGCCTCAGCCTCCCAAGCAGCTGGGATTACAGGCGTGTGCCACCTCACCCAGCTTTTTTTTCTTAAGAGAGAAAAAAAGATTTATTTTGGCTCTTGGTTTCAGAGGTTGCAGTTCACGATAGCTGTGAGGGAGACAAAGGGAGAAGAACAGGGAGAGAGAGTAAAAGAGGGAGAGAGGGAGGGAGAGAAAGGAGAAAAAGATTCCATGTATGAATTTCCATCTTCCTCATCCCACCATCTCAATACTGTCACATCTATCCTCAATATACTCTGTGACTATACAATTTATTATCCCATACAACTACACTTATTTTTATCTTCATAAAGTTCTTAAGTCTCTAGATTTATTCCATTTACTCCCTGTCAGCCACTGCCTCTTAGCTTTATCTCCATTCATGCACATTCTAGCCCCAGACTACAAATATACACCTGTATCTCTGCCCACATTGACCATACATTGCCCCATTGAAAATCCTTTAATATTTCCTAGTACATGGGTTAAAGTCTAAATTTTTACTGTGTTTTTTATTTATACTATTCCCTCTACCTGGAATCTTACTTCTTCCTACCTTCTGTACTTTCTCTAATCATTGGAACAACCCCAAATAAAACTATACCACAAATAAAACTATAAGCCTGGTTAACTCTTGATCATTCTTATTCTTTGAGAGTATCTTGAGAAAACATCTCTTCTATGACCCCTTCTCAAAGGTGTAACTACTTCTATAATTGCATTAAATATATTTTAAAACTTATTAGAATTTCCTATAGTATGGGTCTGCTGATAACATGTTCCCTCAATTTTATCTCAAAGTGTCTTTTTTAAGAAATTAAATTTGTATTGGTGCATTATAGTTATACATAAAATGAGTTCATTCATACATGCATAATTTGGTCTGTTTCATTCCTCCTTTCTGTCCTCTTCCTCTTATCACCTACCTGTACTCTACTGGTCTCCCTTCTATTTACAAGGCCAGCCTTAGTAATTTAGCCAGGCCTAAAGCAACTTAGTGAGACTCTGTCTCAGAAAAGTAAATGGTTTAGGAATGTAGCATAGTGGTAAAGTACCCATGGGTTCAGTCCCCAGTACCAAAAATAAAAACAGATTTAGACATGAAGGGATAATAGACATAAAGCTATAATACTTTTAGAAGAAAACATAAGAGAAAACTTTGTGGCTTAGGGTTAGATGAAGAATTCTTAGGAAAGACACCAAACTCATGATCTATAATAGAAAAAGTTGATAATTTGGACTTCATCCAAATTAAGACGTTTGGTTCTATCAGAGACACAGTCAAGAAAATGAAAAGACAAACTACAGTGTGCAAATTATATATCCAACACAGTGGTTTTAACTACACTAGATGAAGGACGTGGGAAGTACAAGAGTAAGAAAACAAACAACCCAGGCCAATGATCTGACAGATTTTCTTGTGTGGATCAAAATTGTGTCTGTTTAAATCTTCCAGGATGTGTTGAAACAAACACAGGCATCTTGACGGGTCCCTCAGAGGAATAGTAGATGGTACTTGGATCACAGATGCTACTGTCTTACCAAATTTTAACAGTTGCTCCTTCATGTTGTGCTTCTGGTTGTTGTATGTGTCTGATCAGGTTCTAGAATTTCAAAATAATTGATTTTTACAATTTAATGGCCATTTTTATGGAAGGGCAGACCTCCAAACCTTCCTAAAAGGCCATTGTATGTGACATCTCCCTCTGTTGTGCTTTTAACATATTATCCCTTTGTATAGTTTTATTTATGGTTGTTCCAGTGACTAGAAAATATATATAAGCTTTCACAATCTACTTAGAATTGGTATTTCATCACTTTGAGATAAATGTAGAACCTTACTAGTTCCTATTACTCTCTACCCTTTATGTGATAGCTATATACTACACCTCTATACATTTAAAACCTTATCCAACAGCGTTACTGTTTATGCTTTCAAGCATCATCTTTTTTGAGGGTGCAGTGTACTAGGGATTGAACTCAGGGACATTCAACCACTGAGCCATATCCCCATTACTATTTTGTATTTTATTTAGAGATAGGGTCACATTGAGTGCTTAGTGCCTTGCTTTTGCTGACATTGGCTTTGAACTCGTGATCCTCCTGAGCCTTGGGATTACAAGCATGCACCACGGTGCCTGGCAACCATCATCTTATTTTATTTTAAAGAACTCAATACAAGAAGAATAAGCCAGGTGCAGTGGCACGTACCTGTAATCTCAGCTATTCTGGAAGCTGAAACAGGAGGATAGCAAGTTCAAGGCCAGCCTCAGCAATTTATTAGCAAGACTGTCAAAATAAAAAGTAAAAAAGTTCAATCCCCTATCCCAAACAAAAAGATGCATATTTAGCATTTTTCTTGCTTTTCCTATATTCCTGATGTTTCAAGATTCATTTTTTTTTCATACTTTCTTAGTTGTATTTGGACACAATATCTTTATTTATTTTTATGTGGTGCTGAAGATTGAACCCAGTACCTCACACATGTGAGTCGATCGCTCTACCACTGAGCTACAGCCCCAGCCCTCAAGATTCATTCTTTATCAGTTCTCTAGAGCTTCCCTAAGCAAATATTTTAGAACGGTTTTGCTTGCAACAGATTAAAATCTTTTAATTTTCCTTAAATTTAGAATGTCTTGACTCTGCCTGCCTTAGGATAAAAAATTATCTCGTGGTATATGTCTTGATCCATTTTTTGTTGGTAAAACAATACCTAGGGATGCAGTATTTTTATAAAGAAAAGAGGCTGTTTTTGCTCATCATCCTGGAGACTGGGAAGTCCCAAGATTGGGTGGCCTTATGTGGTAAGGACCGCATGCCACTTCATAACATGGCAGAAGTTGGAAGTAGAAACACCCATGGGAAGAGATAAAACAAACAAAAGAAGCCTTGCTTTATTATAACCTGCTCTGTGGTGTCCAGTTTAGTGCCATCGAGTGAGAACTCTGACTAATTCCGATGAGATGGCATTAATGCCTTCATGAAGGTTGAAACCTCATGTCCCAAATGTCTCTTATATAAATATTATATATTTATTTATTTTTATGGTACTGAGTGGTGAACCCAGGACCTTGCACTCTACCACTAAGCTATACCCCCAGCCCTTTTCATTTTGAGACAGTCAGTTACTAAGTTGCCCAGGCTGTCCTTGAACTTGGGTTCCTCCTGCCTCAGCCTCCCAAGTAGCTGGGATTACAAGTGGGTACCATCACACCTGGCTCCAAATGTTTCTTAAAGGCCTTACCACTTCTAAATCCTGTCACATAGGGGACCAGGCCTCAACATGAGTTTGGATGGGAACAAACCATATTCAAACCCATAGCAGTATGGTTTCAGTTCTTGCAGCATTTAAAAATGTGTACTTCCTTCTGTCCTCTGATTTAATAGGACATCAGTAGTCATTCCTATTCTTCAAGTAATATACTATTTTCTCTTGCCTTTTTTTTTTTTTTAATGGTGCTGAGGATTGAACCCAGAACCTTATACATGCAAGTCAAGCATCCTACCAACTAAGCTATATCCCCAGTACCCCTTTGCCATTTTTAATAATTTATTTTCTTTAATTTTTAGTATTGTAATCGTGTAAGAAATCATGGATTTCTTAGGGTTTATCCTATTCAGTGTTCACTTAATTGAAGCATCTTAAATTTTCGCCCTCCCCTGGGGATTAACTCAGATGTGCCACCGAGTTTTAGCCTCAACCCTTTTTATTTTATTTTTCATTTTCAGACAGGGTCTCACTAAATTACTGAGGCTCACTTTGAACTTGAAATCTTCCTGCCTCAGCCTCCTGAGTTATTGGGATTAGAGGCAGGTGCCACCATGATTGACTTTAGTATATTCTTTAGCATCAGATCCATGTAGATCCAGTTTGAAGGGTGAGCTCAGTAGTTCATAAACAACTTTATGGGGTTAGTATTCTTCCCTCCCCATGATGTCCGTAATACTTTCTAGTTCCCTGGAACTCCACTTTTCAGTTTTCTGACCGGAAAAGAAGGCTTTGTTTGCCCCCACTCTGCCGTATATTTCACATAAATGCACAGCATCCAGGATAACGTAGCAAGAGGACAGAGGGAGAGAGAAAATAAGCAACAGATATATGAGCCATCTTCTGCCTTTTGTTTTTTTAGTTGTAGATGGACACAATACCTTTATTTTATTTATTTTTTGTGGTGCTAAGGATTGAACCCAGTGCCTCACATATGCTAGGCAAACACTCTACCACTGAGCCACAACCCCAGCCCCATCTTCTCTCTCTCTCTTTTTTACTTATTTTTATGCGGTGCTGAGGATTGAACCCAGGGCTTTGCATGTGTTTGGTGAGTGTTCTACCGCTGAGCCACAACCCCAGCCCCTTAAGCCCTTTTTTTTTTTTTTAATTTTGAGACAGGTTCTCAATAAATTGCTGCCCTTGAATTCGTGATTCTCCTGTCTCAGCCTCTTGAGGCACTGGGATTATAGGTGTACACCACCACACCTGGCTCTAACCGTCTTGAGACTACATGCTGCATGATTTTATTTCCAATTGGAAAAGAAGTTTCCCTCTCAAGAGTTTTCAGTGTCTACAGGACCTTTTGCCACCTATATTGCTGCCAAGAAACTCCTTTCATGGAACTCCCTGAACCTGAACTAGGAGGGCATCTCCTTGAATGCTGACTGTTTTTGTGTGCCTCCTCCATGATTTGGGCTACCTTGAGTTTAGGTTGGGAGAGATAAGAGAGAAAAAACGATAAACTTACCACCAGGAGTTATACTTTGGATCCTCACCTCCTTGCCAGCCTGGCTGATATTTATTTCATAGGCTCCTCAAATATCTTCTCTGGCATTCTCTCCAGGTTTTATAGCTGCATTCTGTTGGAAAGATAAGGTAGAGTACACCTAGTATTTCTTATTGAAAACTAGAACCTCTCTGTCTGCTTGTAGAATTTTCTTTCTCTTTGATTTTCTGCAGGTTGACTATAATGTACCTAAATGTAGTTTTCTCTGTATTTATCTTGTTCAAGGTTTACTGTTTTTCATCAAATTATGTCATCAATTCAAATATTTCTTGGCTTCCTTCTTTCCTTCTGGGATCCTACTTATTACACATACGGTATCCATTTGTTGTTGTCCGTTTTGTCCTTAGGCTTTATTTTTTATTCTAGTTTATTCTTTCAGTGCTTCAATTTACATAATTTATATTGATCCTTCTTTGAATTAACTCTTTGTTTTGATGTGTCTTGTTTTTTAACCATAAACTAAAAATCCCTGAATGTTCCTTTTAATAAAAAATACGCCAGGTATGGTGTACACACCTGAAATCATGGCAACTCAGAAGGCTGAGGCAGGAGGATCACAAGTTCAAAATGAGCCTCAGCAACCTTGAGGCCGTAAGCAATTTAGTGAGATTCCCATCTCAAAAATAAAAAATGAAAAGGGCTAGGGATATGGCTCAGTGGTAAAGCACCCCTGGGTTAAATTCCTGGGACCAAAAAATAAAATAAAAGAGGGACATAGCTCAGTAATTAAGCACCTCTGGGTTCAATCCCTGGTACCAACAAATAAAAATAAATAAGTATCTTAAATGGGCTGGGGATGTCATTCAGTCGTAAAGTTCCTCTGGGTTCAATCCCCAGTCACTAAAAAAAGGTAAAAAGAAAATCATCCCATTGATTACGTATTTTCATTTGTCCTGAATTAAGTGATGAACCACATATAAATATTACTATATCATTATTTTTTCCAAAAAGAATTTTTAAAACATTATGTTATATATACCTGTAATTCACCAATTGAAAAAAAAAATGTGGGAGATGGCAAGAAATAGCAATCAATAAAAATTCCTGGATCTCCCCCCGCCCTCTCCCCCAAATTATTAGTTGAAGTATCTCCTTTTTCTAACCTAGGATAAAACTTCAAAATGAACAGATACTACTTACTATAGGAGTTTATTTTTCTTCCCTCCACATTAACTAATTTGTACCAATATGAATAAGGAAAAATGGGTTCATTTATTCATTTATTTGATAAATAATGTATTGATTCCCTCTCAGGTTGATGATGTCCAAATTAAATTACAATGCATTTGAGCACTTTACAGGTGTACCCAAAATCTATTTCTATGTTCTGAGTCTTTTTCTCATTACCCCCTGTCTCTGAGAATTCACTTGATATTCGTTTTTTCCTTTCTTTCATTTTGCTCTCAAGAAGAACAAAGATTTATTGAACATCTAATATTTGCCAGGCAATTTTCCAAGTACTGGGAAATACAAAGACAATTAAAACATAATTCCTAGCCTTATGTAATATTGCACTCCAACAGGATATAGATAGGTACCACAATAGTATTAGAAATATTATAACAGGATCGCAAGTTTATGTCTTAGTGGGGAGGCAGGGTAAAGTAGTGAAAGTAGTCATCCCTACCAGAAGGACTTACCAAAGCAGGTTAAAAAAAAAAACATTCTGAGTCTTCTGTGAACATAGTTCATAAGTCGCCTGGAGAGGAGGGGACAGGAGGAAAATTTATTTCTCAGCAGATTCATTATTAAATGTATGAAGGGTAAAATACTGTTCAATTTATTAAAAATAACCAATAGTCCAGTAAAGTTTTGGTATAAAACTTGGAAGAAATTTTTGGTTTTCATCTCTTCCCTCCTAACTTTTAAAAATCTTCTTTAAAGGTTATCAATTGGCAGACATCTCTTCACATTCCTCCACAAGCTAAACTGAGTCCAGAAGCCTCTGATCTGATCATTAAACTTTGCCGAGGACCAGAAGATCGCTTAGGGAAGAATGGTGCTGATGAAATAAAAGCTCATCCATTTTTTAAAACAATTGATTTTTCCAGTGATCTGAGACAGCAGTCTGCTTCATACATTCCTAAAATCACACACCCAACAGATACATCAAATTTTGATCCTGTTGATCCTGATAAGTTATGGAGTGATGATAATGAGGAAGAAAATGTAAATGATACTCTCAACGGATGGTACAAAAATGGAAAGCACCCTGAACATGCTTTCTATGAGTTTACCTTTCGAAGGTTTTTTGATGACAATGGCTACCCATACAATTATCCAAAGCCTATTGAATATGACTACATTAATTCACAAAGCTCAGAGCAACAGTCGGATGAAGATGATCAGCAAACAGGCTCAGAGATTAAAAATCGTGATCTAGTGTATGTTTAACGCACTAGGAAATACTTGTAATGAGGATTGGAAAAAGGCCTGAGATGCAGGATTTTTTGAAGTTCCAAGAGTAAAATTATGCAAATGTAGCAGAGCTATGTATGTGAGCTCTGTGTACAATATTTTATTTTCCTAAATTCTTTTAAAATGTTAATTTATTCCAGCCTTTTAAATCAGTAATGTAGAAAAAATTGTTATAAGGAAATTAAATTATGAATTGAATATTATAGTCAGTTCTTGGTACTTAAAGTACTTAAAATAAAAAAATAGTGCTTTGTTGAAAAGGAGAAACCTGGTATCTATTTGTATATATGCTAAATAAGTTTAAAATTCCAGAGTTTTTGAAAATTTTTTGAAAACAGTTTTAGTTTTATCTTGCTTTAACCAAATATAAAACATACCCTTATTTACAGAGTTCTTTTCCCTCATAACCTTGTTTTGGGTACAAAATAAGCTAGAGAAATTAAGCCATCACTGTGGAGAGTTTTCCCAGGCTAATGATAATCTATATAAGTAATGTGCTGAAACAGGAAATACAAATTGGAAACATATGTTCATCAGAAGGAAAAATAATGAAAGTGTCTTTTTTCCTCCCTCTGTGGAATATTTCATTTAGCATTTTTTTTCTCAGTAATTACTGGCTTTAAAAAGAAGCCAAAGCACTACAAGTTTTCTTCCATATTGGTATTATTGCTGCTTCCAAGTTTTAAAAGGGAACAAAATTGCCATAAATCAAATCTTTCAAATACTAAAAGATAAGATCTTTCATATTTTTACTTTAAAATTTTAAAGTTCCACCACCTTAGCCAGAGAAATTACTTTCAGTTTATATAAAACTTTGATTAGAATTTATTTGTGCATACTCACTAAAAAAAGTACTTTTTCTAGGGGTTAAGGAATGTAGGTCAGTGGTAGACTGCCAGGCTCTGGCTTCAATCCCAGCACTGAGGGGGGGAAAGTACTTTTTCTGTACAATGACTAGTTTTTATTATGTCATCAATGTTGTAGGTTTCTTCTTTCAGAACAGTGTTGCATATACAGATTGTTTTTGGCAAAGGAAAATGTGGCTGTTTGACAATATTTTATCTAAGAGCAGATTAACTGGTGAGAAAAATAATTCTTAACTCTTAATTGTGATGGCCATTAGTAACCAGGAAAATTTACATAGTGGTCTTAGTAGAAAATTCAAGTCCTAACTTATTTAAGGTTAATAATGTTTTTCAATATTTCTATTTATATAAGAAATATAAATATAAAGGTGGTTTCATACCAAAATACATATAGGTGATCTTTTAGGAAGGGAAATTGGACTCCATCCTAACATTAGTAAAATTCATATTTTATTGCCTTTGCTTAAGCTTCATTGATATGCAATTATTTTATCAAAACTTAATGTCTGTAGGTAAAAGGCAAAATTTTAGTGATTTACAGACTTCCAGCTTTCTTCATGTGAAAGCTGATGGAGACCATATGTGTAGTAACATTAAAGGGAAAGCTGTCTTGGTTGAATTGAGGGGAGGGGAAAACATTAGTTCACACTTCCCACCTTTCTATAAGTGGCCCTCTCAGAGCTCAGCTTGAAAACCACTGCCATGTATTAATGGATCTTTGGGGTCACTGATTCTTTTGAGAATCTGATGAAAGCCAAGCACTCTCGTCTCAGAAAAAAGTGCACAGCAACACATATGCAAAAAATATTGCATGCAGTTTTAGGACATTCAGGGCATGTTGAAACCTGTTACAAAGTACAGGTAAGGACCTCTGTCCTGTAAGAAAATTGCCATGTTAAACTAAGAATTTCACTTTTAATTTACTGATCAATACTGAGATTAGAACATCTTGAGGAAATACTGGTAATTTGTGATGGTAAAGATCTGTAGCATGTGGTGACACTATGAATACCTCTCTTGCTGGAAGAATGCTAAGATGTTTTAGACACACCATTTTGAGGGCACTAAAATGTTTGGCTCATTTCAAGCTTGATAGAGAAATATTTCTAAAGGATTTCAGTTCAGAGAATTTTAAGAATGCACTTCCATAAGATGGCAGTCTTCACTTCATGGAACATTGTTTAGTTTTATAAAATCCTATGCAAAACAAACTAATTCAAGCATTTTTAGTTTGGTACTCACATTGTTCTTTTGAGCTTTTTCATTCAGATTTACTTACATTTTCATTTAGTTGTTTTACTTCTGGACTGTGGTGCAATACAGTAGAAAACCAACTTTGTTACATTTACATTATAGGAAAACTTATGGTGCTGTCTCCCCCCCACCTCCCCACAATCTGTACTGCCCCTTTTCCTCAACTCTAAGACACTACAGACTCTATTCTTTCAAAATTTCCTCTGACAGTATAAGCTTTTTGTGCTTGTCTGAAGTAATATACAAGCCATTGGTAAATGCTGTTTTAATAATTTGGATATACTTAATTAGCCATCTTATACCCTAACCACATCCAGTTCTTCCAGTATAAAATCTGGTGCTTCTCACCAAAAAGATGAGAACAACAACATTGAAAATCTGGATGCTCTCAATAGAAATTGGAGTGAAAACATTGGTTCTACATGTTTTCCTTTTAAAATAATTTTCTCATTGAAAAACTTGCTAACTTTCTTATAGTTACCCTTTTTATGCATATCACATAGTATTTATAAAGTGTGTTCTATAATATGTAATTGTAGATACTGTTATGTATTATCCAGTGACATCTTAAGGCAGGCCCTATTGCTGTATCTTTTTTACTTTCTTATTTGTAATAGAACTATAGAATGTATGACTAAGAAGTCACTTTGAGATTGACTTTTTTAAAAAGTTATTACCTTCTGCTGTTGCAAAGTGCAAAACTGTGAGTGGAAATGTTTTATTCTGACTTAATAATATGTTAGAAATTAGAGAATACAGTGGGAGGATTTTTAGATATTGCTGCTGCTGTTACCCAAGGTACTTTAGAAATTTTTCTTTAAAAAAAAAAATTCCTTTGGTATTTAAAGTGAAACACTTACCCTGTTTTGTTTTAATCTAAATCAAAAAGTAATTTGGGTCAACATTAGTATATTGTAATGTGCCTTAATATATCCCTTTGTGAAAGGCACTACACGGTTTACTTTTATATTGTATTGTGTATATAAGTATTTTGTATTAAAACGGGATCAATGGCAACAATACAGTTTTATAAAACAATGCTTTGTTAGAAAAAGGAATTACAGCTTTGCAATATAATTTGTTTTGCATACTTCTGAATGTATTAGAATGAATAATCAGCCTGTTTTTAATGAATCTATTTGTATTTCCCCAGTCATTTCCTCTAGTGTAATGTTTGCTGGGATAATAAAAGAAAGCAAAATCAAATCATTCATTTATATGTGGAAAAATAACTTTTAAGCTGCTTAAGTGTGTTTTTGTTCAGAAATATATTTTAATCTCTATTATCAGAAAGTATATGATTGAAAATGTGATGCTTTGAAATTAAAAATACATGTATCTAATGATAGTATTTAGTTAGGTTAAAGTATATTGTATACATCATAATCCAATACAATGTTTCATTTTTTTCTAGAATAGGTACAATAAATATTTCAAGGTTTCTGGTTTCCTTCAGATTTCCAGTTTAAAATCATTTCATTATTCAACTCTACATTTGGTATTATTTGGGTATATTTTATTATAGGTTTAAAATGTGAAGTTTATTAATGTTTTATTTATAATATTTTATCATGTGAAATGATTAACCAGATTTAAAATATACATAGATGTTATGTTTAATCAACTTTACATGGATAAACAAATACTGAGTTTTTCTTACTCTCTTCTAGCATTACCATTGTTATTGTCTTTTTTGTACCCTTTTTTTGCATTCCCTTGTAAATTTGACAGGTCTATGTGAGGGTGTTGGGTTTTTTTGTTTGTTTTTGTTTTTGTACTAAGGGTTTAACCCAGGGGCACTTTAACCACTGCCTTAGCTTCTAGAGTTGCTGGACTTATAGGCCTGTGCACTGTGCCTGGCAAGTCTACATGAGGCTGTTGTATAGCTGACATAAATTGCATACGATTAATTTTACTACATTGTGGACCTACATTTGGCATGCTTAATGTTGTGACTATACTTGCTGTGGTCACACCACCCCCTTTGCCCCACACAGTAAGGGTAGAGAGAACTTGCCAAATATATATTTGAAGCATAGTTATTTTTCCCAGTATTCAGTCTTTCCCTCTTTCTTTTTTTAAATATTTATTTATTTATTTATTTATTTAAAAGATAGAGAGGGAGGGAGAGAGAATTTTAATATTTATTTTTTTTAGTTTTCGGCTGTCACAACGTCTTTGTATGTGGTGCTGAGGATTGAACCTGGGCCACATGCACATCAGGCGAGCGCACTACCGCTTGAGCCACATCCCCAGCCCCTAGGGATGTACAAATTCTACATATGCTTCGCTTGATATTGCATGTCTTCTACTTGCTGTTTCCCTCCTCTCAGAGGATGGAGGATGAACACACTGGTGACTTAATTTTGGCATAAAAATTAGGAAAACCCTAGTGAATGGTGGATCAACAAAATGAATGGAACCTGATTATGTAAGGAATTGTGTGAAGTTGGGTTGTCTATCCATCCTAGACTGATTCACTACAGAAGATTTGAGAAAAATATTCATTCAACTCCATTTGTTATTGCTGCCAGTGTATAATTGAAGGACACTGTTTTTTACTTTGACCATCTCCCTTGCATTAATCGTGAAATTCATTAATCTTTTGCCTCTCAGATTCTCTTAATTCATTCCAGTCCTTCAAGCTTATTACCCATTATCCACTTACCTACTTAAATTTTTGCTTCTGATATGACTAAGTTCTTAAGTGGATTTATTCTATTACATATAACATCTGTAAACTCTGGGGAAAATACAAAACAACAACAATTAAGATCCTGGAATAGAACCAAAATCATGCAGATTCTAGGGGGATTTGCCCATGGAGGAAGAGAGAAAGGTAGGAGATGAATACATCTGGGTTGAGAAAGGCCCAAATCTCTGGCTGAATCTTGAACCACATGAGCACAGGAAAGAGTACAAAATCCTGCCTAAGAATAAAACAACTGACATTTAAGGTGCTGCCCAAGAAAGAAAGAGTCAAACCAAGTTAATTTATTCTTAACAAAAGAAAACACCTCCAGAGGCATGTCACCATGTCCAGGATATATACAACATAACATTCTTTTTAAAAAATGTATTTTTAGTTGTTGATGGGTTTTATTTTACTCATTTATTTATATGCACTGCTGAGAATGGAACCCAGTGCCTCATACATGCTGAGCAAGCACTTTACCACTGAGCCAAAACCCCAGCTCTACAACATAACATTCTAATGCCCAGGACATGATCCAACATTACTTTATACAAAGAAATATAAAACATGACTATTGAGAAAATATTATTGGATGTTGACTTCAAGATCCTATTTCCAACATCTGGAATTGGCAAACAAGGACATTATAACAGCTCTTGTAACTATGCACAGTAATGTAAAGAGAAAATATTTTTATGAAAATGTGAAGATATGGGGCTGGGGATGTGGCTCAAGCAGTAGCGCGCTCGCCTGGCATGCGTGCGGCCCGGGTTGGATCCTCAGCACCACATACAAAGATGTTGTGTCCGCCGAAAACTAAAAAAATAAATATTAAAATTCATATTCTCTCTCTCTCTCTCTCTCTCTCTCTCTCTCTCTCTTAAAAAAGAAAATGTGAAGATAGGAAATCCCAGCAACAAAATAGAGATTATAATAGCCAAGGTGGGAATGTAGCTCAGTGGTGGAGTATTTGCCTAGAATGCTTGGGGCCTTGGGTTTGATTTTCCAGCACTGCAATAAATAAATAACCAAAAAGAAATTCAGAAATAGCAATAATTTATGGGCTTAACAAAAGAATAGAGATGATATGAAAAATATGTTTGAAGATAATCAGATTATTCATTTTGAAGGTCACAGGAAAAAAAGACTGAAAAAAAAAGAAGCGTCCTAAGGATATGTGAGACAATATCTAGCAATTTAGGGGTGGGAGTAGAGCTCAGTATCTTGGTGGTAGAGCACTTGCCTATCATGTGGAAGGCCCTGGATTCCACCCCAGACACTGCAAAAATAGAAAAACAGTAAAGATTTAGCATACACACTGGCCACAAATTTACCAAATTTGATGAAGGACACAAACTTACAGATTCTAGCAATTCAAAATCCATAACAGGGTAAAGATGATGACCACATATATAGGTACCTTTTTGGCAGTCATGAAAAGGAACCTTGCAGATCTGTGAGAAGTGTAACTGATGGCCTCAGCTGCTGTGCTCTGAATCCACTCCCACATTGTGCCTATGCTTTATTGGCTCCCATTCAATGACTGGCCCAGGAAAGATACTAAATTCCATTCTTGCAAGATACCTCTGATAGGGAGCTGTGATTAGAGAACTCACTGGCCTTTTCAAAACATTCTTAAAACAGCACTGTAGTCTAAAAATTTTGCTACCCAACCTTCTATTTCTCTTCTACTGCACAGGAGATGTGAACCCTACTTTGATGACATCTTGCCTGAGAAAGGCCCAAAGGGTACTTGTCTCCTGCATTAGGATATGTCTGTCTCAGCCTCTTGCAACTTCTCCATTTACCCTCATAGGAATTTGCCCCAATAAATCCATTCCAGTCTAATTATGTCCTAGTGTCTACTTGGAGGAGGTAAACTACCACAATATTTCACAGGCAAACTGCTAGAAACTAAAATTAAGGAGAAAATCTTAAAAGAAGACAGAAAAATGATACATTACACATTGAATGTCCACTGACTTGCCATAAAAATAGATCAGAAGACAGTGGAATGATACCATGTGACATAATCTAAAAATTCAACAAATCTTACTCATGGTTAGAATTTTCTAGACTTACACATATTCTACATCCCAAAAGATGGCTAAATATTATTGAAGTAGGAGACTGGACATGTGGCTCAGTGGTGGAGCACTTGCCTGGCATATGTGAGGCTTGATCTTCAGCACCCAGGGGGAAAAAATTGAAGTAAGAGGAAAAGTCCTGGATTCATCCATAGTATGAGCAAAGTTAAACTGGACTTAAAACCCCTTTTATATTGGTGAAGTACAAAGAATGTCTCTAACTTTTAAATGATTTCATACTACTTACTTTAAAGATATCTAATTATTGCACACAATATGCCAGACATTTCTCTATAGTCAAATGGAAAAGTACCTGACTTAAGTTTATTTGGTGGAACAAGAAAGACAATAAACAATTATATAATGTTGACGGGTGGTCTTTATGGTCATTCCTATCTGTAATTCCAGGGTAGAATCAGGTGTTTCCAGACTAGAATAATCTCCCATTTTATTTCTCAGCCTACTCTTGCAGTAGTCTCCTAATGTATTCTCTCTCCCCTCCATATCTTCCTAGTCTAAGCCACCAAACTACTCCTTGGATTTGTCATATAATTTACACCTTCATTTGAAAACCTTTAATGGTTCTATTTTGCCCAATGAACAAAATTTAAATTCTCCAGGGGCACCTACCTTACTATATCTTTTTCCATAACTTCTCTTCAGGTATCCTAAAATTTACCAAATGAAACTGACCATTCACCAGAAAAATATAATAACAAATTTTCTTAGTCCCAGTTTGGACACAATCATTTTAAATTTTGGCAGTTCCTCAAGCCATACCATAAAAGAAATGATTAGTGTAGTCATGAAGATGACACACAATGTTCTGCTTTTCCAGAGCACGTTGTAGAGTGGTGCAATCCTATTCCTTTGCAGTCAAGTTGACCCTATGACTTGCTCTGGTCAATGCAGTGTGGACAGAATTGTGTGTCACATCCAGGCAGAAGCTTTGCAATTTGTCTCCTTTTCTTTTTTTCATTGCCAAGAGTGCCAGTGCCTGCATTCAACCAGCTATAAACATACAGAGTAGAAAGCAAGGACTGGGGCGTGTTTCAGATTCTCGTTGAGGTTTAATTTACACACAATAAAATGCATCCATTTTATGTGTACTGTTGAAAGAGTTTTAACAGATGTATGCACCATGTAACCACCTCTACTACTGAAGCTTTTCTTTACTTCACCTCAAAACATTTCTGCTTCTTTGCAGTCCCCAAGAACATGAATACATTAATCATCATTGATCACCATGCTACTCCACCTTACTATAGAACACCCCCCCCCATGCCTTTGTTGTTGTTGTTGTTGTTGTTGTTTTGAAACAGGGTCTTGCTAAACTGCCGAAGTTGGCTTAGAACGTGATCTTCCTGTTTCATCCTCTGGAATCACTGAAATTACAGGCATGTGCTTCCATGCTTGTCATGTTCTACAATTTCCTATAAATGGAATACCAC